GTGTGTGTGTGTATGTGTGTGTGTGTGTTTTCTGTTTGGTAAATGTTTTACAGCGCTCGCAACTGCATAAGGTCATATAAGCGCGCTGGGTACATTAAACATTTTAAGTTTGGAAGGAATTAATTCTGAATTTTGCCCGGGTGGTTGCTGAAGCGTACTTTTATCGATTTTGGACCAACAAAGGATTTTAACGTGCACAACTTGCACACAGGACCTCTGAGATTTTTCGCCCATACCCGAGAAGGCTAAGTGTTAGATCTTACTTACCCTAAGATCAGGGGTGTGGCTGAAAGACATCAGAAAGACGGGAACCAAGGAGCGGCAGTATAAAGGCAGCAGAGAAGAGTCAGGACCCCAGAGGAGGGGGCAAAGGAGAAGGGGAGGGGGCAGAAAGTGGAAAGGAAAGCAGACAGTTAGAGAGTAGGAAAAGAGGTGAAAGGAAAACATTTTAGATTTTTTTAAAGTTGTTGTTGTCAGGTTTCGAACACTGTAACCTCTATACCACAAAAGCCCCTTCTCTTTGTGTGCCACAATCTTGCAACACAATGTATTCTTAAGGTGGTAGTGGGGGTGTTAAACCCCGATAGTCCCAATTCGGCTCAAAATTATGGATTGTTTAAAGCGTCTTCAGCCTCTCTAGAAACTATTTCATTTTCATAGCTTTAGATCCCCCTAAAGCCTTATTTCTTTCCATACCAGGCATGTTTGTAACCACCATTTTCTCTTAAAGTCATTCTTCTATTTTTCTTTATCGCCCGTTTCCTCAAAACACGTTTTTCTATATTCTTGATATTTTTAAAAATAACTACTTCATTTTTCATCCAATCTTCATGAACTTTTCACTGAATGAAGAGAAGATGTAATACTATAAAATAGTCAGTTGAATTGTTAATATATGGCATAGATTTTTGTTGGTGGTGTCTGGAGTGTGGATTTTCACGGATTTTTTTTTCCAAACTTGAATACTACCTCAGGAAAAAAAAAATTCTTTAAAAAATTTCTAATCCGTTCAGGAAAAATTCAACAAATCTAATGTTTGCTAACATGCACGCATAAAAAGCAAACGATTTATTTTCATGACAAATAAGTGCGGTATTGATTACGCTGATTGAGGACTTTAAGACGTCTTACTATGCTTGTTATATGGGTCACATTTGGTAAAATTTGATCCACTAATAAGCGAGATAGCCTTCAGATGTAACCTCCC